TGTGGCTCAAGTGGTAGAGCGCTAGCCTTGAGCTGAAGAGCTGAGGGACAGCGCCCAGGCCCAGAGTTCAAGCCCCACAACCGACCAAAAAAAAATTATCCGAAGGAATGTCTTTAAATAGGACTTTTTGCCACTAGCTAATCACACTAATGTTCTCCAAAGATGAGCCAAGGAAGATCATAATCTTCTCTCAAGTGAGCCAAGCACTGGCTTACAAAAGAGAGGTTCCGCTTCTCCTGCACTTAAAAAATTCCCATGCAATTTCCTTTGTAGCAGCCCAAGACATTCATGGTATTCTAGCATTAAACAACATAGTACCAAAGAAGTCTGAAATATCCTCAAAGACGGAAATTATTTCTTCTAACAGACTGTCCAGAGATGGTCAGGCACTCTTAACATGTTTTCATTGTCAGTGACCACAAAGCCTCTCAAAGCAAGGCAAACCTTCCCTCTTATGCCACTCAGTGCTCATACTTTGCAGTGGATCTGTGCCAGCAAAGCACATAGGGACAAAGTCAGCAATAGTAGGGGGCCTGTAGATGCAAGGGACGCGGATCCTATTAGAACCTGGAAGAAAGCCTTTTTTTTTTTTGCCAGTTGTGGGGCTTGAAACTCGGCCTGGGCGCTGTCCATCAGCATTTCAGCTCAAGGTTGGTGCTCTACTACTTGAGCCACAGTGTCACTTCCAGCTTTCTCTGCTTATGTGGTGCTGAGGAATCAAACCCAGGGCCTCATGCATGCCAGGCAAGCACTCTACCACTGAGCCACCTTCCCAGCCCGAGAAAGCCATTTTTCTGAAGAGTGCTGAGAAAAAGCACTTGTGCAGAATGACTCAATGTTGTTTTGGGTCAATGGGAATGTGCTAGTCAGGAGATTCTTGCTGCCAAGAGAAAAATGAAGACAATACTCATGCTAAGGTTTCACCTAGTTTTCACTTCAGAATACTACACAATTCCTGAATATGGGGAATAATCAAACAACTGCAATCTGGACCAAGACAAGGGGTGGAGCTGTTCATGTGTACCAAGTACTGAGACTAGGGATTCCTTGGTATATTTCTCTACTAAGGCACATTATCATTTGTACACTTTCAAGAGAAAGGAGATTGCACAGCAATCTCATAAAAACTGCTTTGAAGACAGGTAGGATAAATGGAATAAAATGTAAACATGGGAACTGGGGGGTTGGGGGGGGAGGGCAGAATGACAAATGTTCACAGCAAACCATCCAGGCAATAACTAAGGCCTGTATTTCATGTCACAAGATGATGTATATATTATGCAGAAAATTTACATTCTATTTTTCAAAATTTTATGAGATTTTTATGTCCATTATCATTACTTTAAAAAGTCAAAGCCAAGCTGGGAGCTGGTGGCTCATACCTGTAATCCTAACTACTCAGGAAGCTGAGATTTGAGGATCACAGTTCAAAGCCAGCCTGGGCAGGAAAGTCCGAGGGACTCTTATCTCCAAAAAACCACTCAGAAAACTGAAGTGGCGCCTGTGGCTCAAGGGGTAGAGCGCTGGCCTTGAGCTGAAGAGCTGAGGGACAGCGCCCAGGCCCAGAGTTCAAGACCCATGACTGACCAAAAAAAAAGTCAAAGCCAAATAAGGGCTATAAAAGTCAAGACATTTTATTAGTTGTTAATGTGTAAATGACAATGCAGGACAGATTTCTACTGAAATCGTAGTTCCAAACAGGGGACAGATACATTAAATTTGGCCAAATGAAGACACTTTTTCTTCCTAGACTGTGGGTTCTATGTATCACTCAGGACCCATGTATGGACCTGCTAAAACAGTATAAACCAGTACTTACTACAGCCTTGAAATCCTGCCCGAACAAATAAGTGGTCTACATATTTAGTGGTATTTGGGTTAAGATTACATTTTAAAAGCTCTCTTTTAAGGTTTGTACAGGAAAGCTGGCTGCAGGGGTGTGCACCTGCAGTAGCAGCTGTTCAGGAGGCTGAGGTGGGAGAATCATCTGAGCACAAGGAGTTCAAGGCTAGCCTGGGCAACAGAGTGAAATGGCTTTGAAAAAAAAAAGAGATTTGTATCTGAAAGTAAAAATGAACACAATCTTTAAATCTGCACAATAATTGGGCAGAAATTATACAACGGTCAAAAAAACTTCTTTTGTGGAGTTTTGAGTTTGGGGCTTTGAGCTTGCTTACCCAGACACTATTACTGCTGACCCATGCCTCCAGCCTAGGTTTTTGCTTTTTATTTTTGACATAGTCTCACTTCTTGCCAGGCATAATCCACCCATGTCAGGCTTGCTGGCAACTAGGATGACAGGCACCTACAACCTCATCTAGTTGAGAAGGGGGACTCATGAACTTTCCTGGGCTGGCTGGAAGCCATAATCTCAACAATCTCAGCCTCCCAAGTGGTTAGGATTACAAGCATGAGCCAGTAGGGTCTGCTTCCAAAACATTTTAATACCATCAAGTTCTAGTTTCCACTTCTGTAAAATCTAGTCAGAGATACTCTAAGATAGGCAATCAGCTGCAGTTTTTGAGAATTCTCCAATTTCAAAATTAATCAATGGTGGCCATCATCGCTGTGAACCCAGGCTGAAAGGTCAGAAAGAACTGTTAAATCCCAGAGGACAGTTCCAGCCATCAACTACTTTTCAAAGTTCTATGTAGCTTTTGATTCATGCTTCATGCTGTTAGTTCTAGCTTATTTTTTTTTCAAAAAAGGCCTGAACACACTATATACAAGGTCAGTGTGAGTCACACCATTTCCTTGCATACCTGTTATGCTGAGCTCTGTTAACAGAAAATGATTAACAGGCTTAAAAAAGAAAAAAATCATTTCCCTTCCTATTCCTTCTTTGACAGCAATGTTAATATATAATGAAAGTAGAACAAAGTTGGGTGTGGGTGGCTCATGTCTGTAATGTTAGCCACTCAGCAAGCTGAGATTTGAGTATCTTGGTTCAAAGTCAGCCAGGGCAGGAAAGTCTGTAAAATTCTTATTTCCAATTCAATCACAGAAAAAGCCAGACGTGGTGCTGTGGTAGAGTGCTAGCCTTGAGCAAAAGGAGCTCAGAGACAGACAGCAGCATCCAGGCCCAGAGTTCAAGCTTTAGGAAGCAGGGAGGGGGGAAGGGGGAAGTGGGGAGAGTAGATAAAAAAGAAAGGATAGAAAACTTGACAAATATGTAAAATCTCTGCTAAACATGCCAAGTAGTCTTTACAATGTTCTGAAACACTGTGCATCTTTGTTACTTTAAAATAAAGGGCATTTTCAAATCAAACATGGAGAAATGTATTTTTACACCTGATGATAAAAATCAGTAGCAAGTCAACATAAAACAATGCTTGGCAAAACTTGGAAAGGAATATCCGTCATGACTTCAGCATTAAATGAAGGTTGTGTCAGTGTGCAGCAGGGATGGATGTAAATTAAAGATTCTGTCCTGAAAACAATATACCCAGTTTTGTTTTATTTTAAAATCTTATCTTCCCTTCCTTAATCTATTCAAAACTTGATACTTACCTGATTGGGTTCAAACTATATCACTTTTTTTTTTTGTACATACTAGGGCTGGAATTCAATGCTGTACATACTTGGCTTGGCTTTCTGTTCACAACTGGCACTCTACTACTGAGCCATACCTCCACTTCTTGCTTTTTGCTGGTTAACTGGAGATTCTCTTAAGATCTGTCTTCCTAGACTGCCTTTGAACCACAATCTTCAGACCTCCTCCTGAGTATCAAGGATTGTATGTGTGAACCCATAGGGCCCAACACCCAACTTTTAACATCTGATACACTTGGAAAAATTCTATGCAGACTAGGGCAACAATTTTCATAGATGCAGGCCCCACCAAGGACTGATAACTTCCTTCCTCTGGCCATTATTGGAAGCCACATGTTTCTGTCTCCCCAACCAGTACAGGACTGAGATGATGATCACCCATCACCTATTACCACATTGTAAGTTAGCACTCCTGAAAAATATTATTGGTAAACTGTTAACCTGTTTAAAGTTTTCACTGTCACCATTATCCTCAAAGATCTGCTCAGAGGAGGAAGCAGATTGGCTCTTGAAAGTCACTGAGTGTCCAGTATGGTGTGATTTTAAAAATATACTACCATATGTCTAGTAGAATAAAAAGTAGATAAAGAGGAGCGCTGAACCTATCAAAGAAATCATCCAGCAATATGCTGGACACAGTCTTATCAGTATTTCTTTCCTGAGAGAAGTCTTCATATTTTTGCTTAAAACAAGGTGATCTTCAAGTGGATCATTCCTAAGACTTACCCCCATTTAACTTTTGGGGTAACACACCATATTTTAGCAAGGATAAAAGACTTTAAAACCAATTAACAACCAATTAGATTTTGATGCCTACACTTAGGTTTAATACAAAAAGACATAAAAAGATGTCTCCCTTACCTCTTTTCCATCTCAAAGTTAAAGGACACAGTAATACTGAATCAGGACACAGGCACATGTTATATAGATCTTATTTAATATAGTACCCCCTACATCCTGCTTTCACACAGTTGATACATTCAAGTAAATTTAAAACACCTCCCTATACCAATGATTTTCAAATTACTTTTAAATGATAGCTGCTTCCTTCAAGACAACTAAACCTTAGCAGAAAATTTCCAGGTTGTATTAAAAGAGACAAAGCAGGGATGTTGTGGTTGGTAGCTTGAAGTCTTTCTGCTACCTCTGGGTGATCTTCTTGGAGATCCAATGTATGGAGTTAGAAAACCACTGAATGTCTGCTAGCAATTAAATTTATATCATCTAGTTAAGGTTTAAGTCGAATGAATCAAATACTGAATGGAATGTTGGGATTCAAATGAGCAGTTAAAATTCATTAGACAGTTTGTTTTTAAAATACTCATCAAGAAGTTAAAGGGACAATGGAAGGTTTACACATCATGTCACTATTTATTGAAGAAAAGAGAACTTGAAAAAAATCTTACTTCAAAACTTCAGTCTAGTGAACTGAAGTTTACGGCTTCTTTTACTTAAAATGAAATCATGACTTACCCCAATTATAAATTAGGATAATTACATTGAAAATTTCACAAAAATAAAAAAAACAACAAAAAACACAAAAATAAAACCCAAAACAGTATAAATCATGCATGGGCTTTACAGAATTCAGTTTCTTTTCTTTTTTTCTTTCTTTCTTCTTTTTGAGATAGAGTCTCACTATGTTGCTCACGCTGTACTCGAACTCACTATGTAGCTCAGGATGGCCTCAAACTTGTGATCCTTCTGCATGAGCTTCCCAGGTGTGTACTACCACACCTGGCAGAAACCAATTTTTTTTTTACAAAGTTTTGACAAATTGTTACTTTACTATTCAATAAGAATTTTCCTTCAAAGATACACATTGTGCCTTTGACTTTTCTTTTTTAAACAGGGCTAACTGTAAAACATAAAGGAAATGCAAATATGCATAGAAATTGCTTATTCACAGTTCTAACTGCTCATATCAAACTTTTTTTAGGAAAAGGAAAAATGTATCCAGTATACAATTGAACCAACATACAACTTATATTGTTTTGTGGTAAGACTTCAAATAGAGATTTTAAAAAGTACACTTAACTACAAAAGATTAAATACTTATAAAATTATCTTTACCCTGAAATGGTTAGGTATATAAAGTGTTGATGCCCATGTCAACAGTACATTATACATTACACACATTATTTAAATGACATTTTCTTTCCATTAATAATGTAGATAAAACCACAACATTTATTGCTTATATCAAATGCAGGTTAAAATCCAGATAGCCTCCAAAACCAATCCTTGTAATAAAGGATTTCTCAATGTTGGTCAAGTAAAATATTACGTTTAACATGTGTGAATACAGCTGCAAAATGTACCAGTTTTTCACAAACACCAATGTCTTTATTTTAGAGTAGTTTACAGTTTGGGTTTCAGAGGAACCTGCAGTGAAGATCCTGAGATGCTGGGCCTGTGACAGTAAGTATCACTTATCTGGCTGATGTCTATTCTACTGCACCGATTTTGGGTATGAGGCATTTGCTGCTAACAAACCCTTGAGATTAACGCAGCACTGTCAGCTACTAGTGCAGAAGCTTGCCAGGCAAAACTTTATTTATAGGACACGTTGGTGAAAGAACAGTGTCCAGCCAATCAAAGTGCCAACCAAAATGACTGACACAAACCCAATCTTAGTGAGAATAGGTTGCCAATATAACCACCTTTTTCTTTTTCGTTCAGTCTCATTTAGCCTCTGTTTCATCTGCTGCACCTTCTGAGCTGTGGTAGCCTTTCGGTCCTCTCGAATACGTTTCCGTAGAACACTGTAAGAGATAAAAACAAGTCAATGGAAGTGTACGCTCAGAAGGCTGTAACCCCAGTACAAAGGACCCAGGCACCAGCAAAGCCACATATGCCTACACTTTTCATCTCATTCCAACATAAATAAAAATGTGAAAGCTTCAATGTTCCAAGTGCTCCAGAGATTTACTCTTATAAATCGGCAACGATTTCTGGTCGTTTTATCTTAAAAATATTTTTAATGAGACCTGAAAAAGTGCATGATAGTTTCTTTTTCAAAATGTGAACTGGTAAACTGAGATAGAGAGGGAAGGGGTGACATTTTCAAAAAAGAAACGTATTCTTTACCTGACTTATGTAACTGTAAGCATTCTGTACATCACCTCTATAACAACAATGATTTTTTAAAAAAGTAAACTGGTGATCATCAGTTTTCTTTCGTTGACAACCAGGCAGTAGAAGCAGGAGGGGAAGACAACAGGTTCTCCAGTATCTAGCTCTCTTTTGCACCTGGTCATCATAAATATCCTTGGTAAAAACTGCTTGTTTGTATGACTATTATTGTTTTTTTGGTCGGTTGTGGGGCCTGAACTCTGGGCTTGGGTGCTGTTAGCTCTTCAGTGTAAGACTAGTACTCTACCATTTGAGCCATGGCACCACTTCCAGCTTTTTTCGGCTTATGTGGTGCTGAAGAATAGAACCCAGGGCCTCATGCATGCAAGGCAAGCACTCTACCACTGAGCCCAGCCCCAGCTGGGCTGACTATTATGTTGTGAGAGCACTTATGCTCCTGCTTGTCCACATATATGTTTCTAGCATCTTGGAAATTGTTTAATACAGAACTTTTAGTTCTGGCTCTGACCCTTAGTCCTAGGACTAAGAAGAATGTCCAATGGCAATATGCTAGTCATTTCACTTTTTAAAGTGTCACAAAATCTAACTCCCTCTGTTTACTTATCATATGTGTTATGGAAAAAGCCTTGCCAGTTTTTGAGTTCTTCCAGTAAATGTTTCCAAAGCATAGCTCTAAATATGCAGCTTAAACAAAAATCTTGGTTGCTTCTTCAATGCCTACTATATTAAGAAAGAACTTTTTCCTGGCCAAAAAGGTCTCTCATATCCATAAAAAAAGATGATTAGAGAAACCCAAATTGTAGAGCAATCTGAAAGACAGCAAATTAATAAGCAAAGGAGAAAAAGTATCTGGAGAACAATTCTTGATTAAAGTAGACCAAAGAATCCTATCAATTAAATGCAATGCAGGATCCTTGATTAGATACTGAATTATTTTTGTGTTTTGAGATAGGGTTTCACTATGTAGTTTAGCTGATCTTGAACAAGATCCTTTTATTTTTGTTTTTGGTGATACAAAGGTTTGAACACAGGGCCTCCCTCTCTCTTTTGGCACACACTATATCACTCAAGCCCCTTTTTGCTTTATTTTTCCGATAGTGTCTCACAATTTTTGCCCAGGGCCAGTTTAGGACCATGATCATCAAGAGCTTCCTGTTACCTGGGATTACACATGACTGGCTTGTTTGTTCAGGTGGAGTCTCATTTGACTTTTTACATGAGCTTATCTCAAACTGTGATCCATCTTTACACAGTTGGGATTTTAAGAGTTTGTCTGACAACTATGTACTGTAAGATATTAATTTCCAGATATTAATTTCCAGAAAATACACTTGAAAAGCTATGCAAATTGAAACCCCCTTGTACAATTGAAACCTTTTTTTTAAAATATATTTTTATTGTGAAAATACTGTACAGAGGGGTTACAATTACGTGGGTAAGATAATGAGCACATTTCTTATCAAGCATTGTAGCCTCCTGCTTTTGTTTCCCCTTCCCATCCCTTCGTATCCCTCCCCCCGCCGTCTCCCCTCCACCAAAGTTGTAAAGTTTGTTTTTCGACATAACGTCTTGTACATCTTGAAACCTCTTTGTATAATTACTTTTTAAAAAAGTAATAAAATGATAGAATAACTGTAAAAAGCTATACAGAAGACTTCTTAATCAGCTACAGAAATCTGGACATGTACTATCTGTTAGAATATTTTGTGTCACATGTCTTTGGTAAAGTGGAACTTTCATATATGACAGAAATAGAGTTGTTAGGGGATGTATAGAATTGTCAGACAGTTCCTCAAAATGTTAAATGTGGAATTATTACAGGACTCACTACTTCTAGTTATCTACCCAAGAGAATGGAGAAACAGGTTTATGAATGCAAAATCTTTTCAGAATTGTCCAATTAACATTGTTACCTCTCATTCCTATTCTGTTTAATTCTCCTCTTTTCACCTCTATACACCTTCAATCTTATGGAATTTAGCCTATTTAATTAGCAATTTACTAATAGTTTGCCAATTTGGGTGCTTCTTTTCCCCTCACAATGTATTAGCAACTTGTGAATTATCTTTGTAGTCTATGGTGTTAAATATTCAGATTAGTTCAAATAACGAGAAATACCTGTTTATGTAAAAAAATTTTTTTTGTAAAAAACTTTTTGAGACATATTATGACCTATGCAAGTTATTACTCAGAATTCACTCTCTGAACTGAAAATTAATCATGACAAATATAAAAGTACATGAAGAGGAGCTGGGAAGGTGGCTCAGTGGTAGAGCGCTTGCCTTGCATGCATGAGGCCCTGGGTTCGATTCCTCAGCACCACATAAGCAAAAAGAAAAAAGC